TATATGTATGTATGCATGCATGCATGCATGTATGTATGTATGCATGTATGTATGTATGTATGTACGTACGTACGTACGTACGTACGTACATATGTGTGTAGGCATGCATGTATGTATGTATGTATGCATGCATGTATGTATGTATGTATGTATGTATGTATGCATGCATGCATGCATGTATGTATGTATGTATGTATGTATGTATGTATGTATGTATGTATGTATGTATGTATGTATGTATATATGTATGTATGCATGTATGTATGTATGTATGTGTGTATGTATGCTACTAAGTATGTACGTATGTATGTATGTATGTATGTATGTATGTATGTATGTATGTATGTATGTATGTATGTATGTATATATGTATGTGTGTGTGTATGTATGTATGTATGTATGTATGTATGTATGTATGTATGTATGTATGTATGTATGTATGTATGTATGTATGTATGTATGTATATATGTATGGATGTATGTATGCAAGTATGCATGCACGCATGCAGGTATGTATGTATGTATGGTTTGTATGTATGCATGCATACATGCGTGCATGCATGCATGCATATAGAGGCAGCACGTCAGTGATGGCAACACGTATTGCACAATGTAAATTGCACCACGTAGATTGCTGCACCCAGTTCGAGCAACATATGCTGCTAGAGACACTGTTTGGGTTCCCCCCGCCCTGGGGCACCTTTTGGACGCCCCCCCCGCCCTGGGGCACCTCTCGGACGGCTCCCCGGGCCTCCTTGGCTAGCCGCCGCAATCTTCTGGAAGCCGCGGAGGCCCCAGAGGCCACGCAACGATCTTTAAAGATGGACGAGAGAGCCCGAGGACGGCTCCCAAATGGCCCCGATCTGGCCACGACACGATCCAGCTGGCTCCCACGAAAGATTCCGAGAACCTCCAGGAGGGCCGCCAGAGGCAGAAACCTTGAATTGTGGTTTGGTTTGTCAAGGATTGTGGAGTCCTGCCCACTTTAGTTTCCTATGGCCCCGGCGAACCCAGGGGCTTCCTAGATCGCCCCCCCGGACGGCTGAAGAAGCCTCCCAAACAACCCCGAGATTGCCAACTGTCTCCAAGACGCCCCGACGTGCCCCACGACCGCGTGCAGGGAACCCCGCGAACGTCTAGAGGGGGCTCCCAAAACGACCCCAAGGGACCGCAAGGCGGCTCGGCGTGGCTCCGTGGCGATACACGCGGCCTCCCAGACGCTTCAGAGGTCTCCGACAGTCAATGCTGCCCGACATGTGCCCTCGTAGGCCTCTAAGAAATCTTCGATGGGCTCCCAAAGCCTCGAGGACCTTCCAAAAGGCCATTAGCAGTCTCTCGGGCCACCTCCAACAAAACAGTCTATCATCCTGCTGCTGCTCGTCCTCCTCCTTCGCCTCCTCCCCTTCATTTTCCGACTTCGCTGCCTTGCGCAATCATATCCGAGACGGCCCCCAATACGCCCAAAGGCACTCTAAGACGACGCGCAGGGTGCCCAACGATGGCCCAGGAAGCCCTCTCATCCCCTACCCTTCTCCTCCTCCTCCTCCTCCTCCTCCTTCCTCCTCTTCCATCCCTGTTCCTTATATGTAATTCCTCCCTGTCGCATCCCGATGCGGGTCGGTCGGGCGGGCCGGGCGTTTTGCTTGAACCTTCCTCAACACTTCTGATCATGAAGCCACAGTGTCTAACAGTTTCACGGATGGAGGGCGGTTGGTTTTCAAAATGTGGTTCTCGCCTTAGCGCCGCGCACATTCGTTTTAACAGTTTGCAGAAGTTTCGCGGATGGAGGGCGTGCTGTTTTCAAAGGGTGGCTCTCTCCATAGCGACGCGCGCATTCGTCTCAAACATTTGCAACAGTCTCACGGGTGGAGGAGTTTGTTTGGGCGGGTTCTTTCAAATTGTGGCTCTCTCGGTTTCGCGTCGCGCACATTCGTTTGTCTGCAAACTCTGCAAGGGTTTCGCGGAGGGTGGTTCTTTTTCCACATGTGGCTCTCGCCTCAGTGCCGCGCGCATTCGTTTTAACAGCTTGCAAGAGTTTCACGGATGGATGGCGCGCCGTGTTCAGAATGTGTCTCTCGCCTTAGCGCCGCGCTCATTTGTCATACACATTTGTAAGAGTGTTTCGTGGATGGAGGGCGGGCTGTTTTCAAAATCTGGCTTTCGCTTTTACGCCGCGCACATTCGTCTAAAACACTTGCAGCAGTCTCACGGATCGGGCCATTCTTTTTCAAATTGTGGCTCTCTCGTTAGCATCGCGCACAGTCATTGTCAATGTTTGCAAGAGTCTCACGGGTGGGGTGGTTTCTTTTCAAACTGTGGCTCTCGCTTTCGCGCTGCGCGCACTCGTCGTTGCACTTTACAGCAGTTTCAGTTTTTTTTTTGCTTGACGTCGCAGAAATAGTGTTTTGACACGATTTCTGGTTGTCAGGACGCGATCGTCGCGATTATATGCGGTGTTGAGGTCCCAGGAATGGTGTTTTGGCGAGCCTGGATCGTTAGGATGGAGCAGTGACTTTGATCCGCGGCGTTGAAGTCCCAGGCATGGTGATTTGGCATCGCTGACGATTTTCAGACGGTTGTTTTCCAGCGAGGCATTCCCCGCAGTGAGGACCTACGAAGAGGGAACTTGGAGGTAGGGCTTGTTGCGGCAGCGTTAGTGAGTCTTGTGCCTACGCTGGTCCTCGAGCTCATCCTTCTCCTCCTCCCTCCTCGTCTTTCCTTCCTCGTCGTCCTGCTCGTCCTGTTCTGCCCTCCTACGCCCCCTCCTCCTCCTCCTCCTCCTCCTCCTCCTCCTCCTCCTCCTCCTCCTCCTCCTCCTCCTCTTCCTCATCCTTTTCCGACCTCACCGCGTTGCATTCTGATCTCCTAGAGGGGGTGGGAGGTTCGGGGACGACCGAAACGAGGGAGGGCCAGATGGACCGAGCGCTGGAGGGCAGATCGAGCACAGGGGGACGACTCGACCGTTGAGACACTTCCCCTCCGCAGGCGCCCCGCTGTTTCCGTCATCGTCACCGTCATCGTCCATGGGCACTCCGGCTCCTCCAAATGTTCGGTGCCCGACGGCTCCTCCAAGTTGTTGGTGTCCGAGGGCCGCTTCCAGATCCCAGGGCCGTCGAACAGCGACTCAGGATGACAAACCAGTCCCCCTCCTCCCTCCTCCCTCCTCCCTCCTCCCTCCTCCCTCCTCCCTCCTCCATCCTCCCTCCAGGAAGTCGAGAGCGGAGTGAAGAAACATTGTTGGGAAAGAAGTCGAAGGTCTGGGGGCCAGCGACCCGACGACCGCGGATCGTCGCGGGCGTGTGCAGTTCCGCATATCGTGGATCGGCCTTCTTGTTGCTTGCTTGCCCAACAGTGATTTCAGCAACATAATAGTAGCTCAGCAGACATGGCCTTGACCCTCGCGGTCATCACGTTCGCCCCGCCGACAGAGTAGCTCAACATGTAACCCTTGGATGTCATGACTAGTAGCTCACTCACGGTTACCCTCCTGATCATCACCACCGTGACCCACCCCTTCCGCGTTTTGCCGACAGCCCTTTCTTAGTCATGATTTGCACCCCATGCTGCGGCAATGCCACCTGCGTCAAGGTCATGATTGGGACCCCTCCCGGATCATGACCTTCACCCTTTTCGCGGTCATCTCATCGGCTTTTTTCTTGACCATCGGATTCGAGGCCACTGCCCATGTTCCGCTTTGCCATGACCTTCGCCCCGCTGGCGGTCATGGCGTACACACCCTCGACGTCATAACCGTCACCCCTGTTGTGGTCAGGACTCATTCTGGTATCGAGGTCATTACCTTCGCCCCCTTCGCAACCATGCCCTTCCCTCATGGCGTAAACATGCCTATGGGCTGTATCCAGCCCATGATCACCAGTGACCCCTGCCACCCTCATGGTCCGATTTTTCTGCTCCGATAGTCCTTCGGCAGTCCCCCTGCTGTGCTTGGACGCAGGACCAACATTTGAGGCGAAGCGAAGCGAACCCTGAAGTATTATATGAGTTTCGTGTATCCGTTGCATCTCGAGGTATGTATGTATGTATGTATGTATATATGTATGCATGTATGCATGCATGCATGCATGTGTGTATGTATGTATGTATGTATGCATGCATGTGTGTATGTATGTATGTATGTATGTATGTATGTATGTATGCATGCATGTATGTATGTATGTATGTATGTATGTATGCATGTATGTATGTATGTATGTACGTACGCACGTATGTATGTATGTGTGTATGTATGTATGTATGTATGCATGCATGCATGCATGTATGTATGCATGTATGCATGTATGCATGTATGTATGTATGTGTGTATGTATGTATGTATGTATGTATGTATGTATGTATGTATGTATGTATGTATGTATGTATGTATGTATGTGTATACGTATATACATACGTATGCATGTATGTATGTGTATATGTATGTATGTATGCATATATGCATGTCTGTATGTATGCATGACTGATTTATGTATGTATGTATGTATGTATGTATGTATCTATGTATGTATGCATGCATGCATGCATGTATGTATGCATGCATGTATGTATGTATGTATGTATGTATGTATGTATGTATGTATGTATGTATGTGTGTGTGCATGCATGCATGCATGCATGCATGCATGCATGTAAACGTGCATGCATGCGTGCAGATGTCATGGAAAACACGCCAAACATCTTGTGGATCAATCGAGCTCGAATCCACGCCGGCAGAAAATACCCACCGCAGCTCCGGTCGGAATCGGAATCGAGTCCGCGCGCCCAGATCCGCCGCGACTACATGCCGTGGTCGCGCTTCAAGCCGTCCGTTACGGGCCCAAGAGGAAACAACTTTCGTCCTGGGGATGTCGTCGCTGGGCTCGCCAGTTTGAGATGTTCTTCGTCTCGAGTGCGCGGGGCCTATGGCCTGCGGCGAATGTGCTCATGTTCTTGGCCCTCGTTCTTGTGGCCATGGTTTGAGTGCAGAGCGGGCAAGGGACGGGGAGGCTCAACGCCATCATCCAGCTGGTCTATCCGCGCTTCAACAAGGCCGCTGGGACCGCCGGGGGCGCCGAGGGCGCTGAACCCTCCGCTCCGGTCCTCCTGCCGCTGCTTCTGCAGGACTGTTTCTGCCGCCAGGCTGTTCGAAGGTTCGAGATATGTTCGGGCCTTTGAAGGCCGCCGGACGCTGCCAGGACCTGCGGGGATCTCTGGAGGCCTTCGGCCTCGCTGCTGCTCCTGCCCGGCCGCAGGGAGCGGGGCGAGTGGCGGGCAGAGGCAGCAGGAGCGGGAGTGCTGCGGCGGAGGGCAGGAGAGCTGCGACCACCTGCTGCCCCTTGCTTCACCGTAGTCTTGTGGAGGACGATCCATGGAGAGGAAGCATGCTGCCAAATAATTTCCAGATGTCAAGAAATAGGTGTTACAACTGTTCTCAGACGATCACACACATGTTTTTTTAACATTTCCAGGACATTCTCCGACACTTTGAGCACAGGGTTTCATTCGATGATGGGACTGTCAGGGGTTAGGGTGCCCAGTGTCGTGGCATCCACAAGCACACTCCTATCCTCGGCGCCACCCGAGCGTACTCCTGCGGTGTGTGCGTCGGCCCTGCACGGGCGACGCGCGGGGTCGGCTGCGTGGCGGGCGCCTTCTGGCCGTACGGTTCGGGAGTCGATCCAGCACAGGATTGTGGAGTGTACGCTCGGGTCGGACGTGCGTCCCCGACAGAGGCACATCGTGTCGGTGTGTGCGTTGTGCGTCCCGTAGCGATGCCCACTCCCACTGGGCCACGGTGTGGCAAGCCTCCAGCACACCAGCCCAGGCGGGGAGGTCCCGCGAAACTCGAGGGAACTCGCATGCAGGATCCCGGGTCGAGGGTTCAGAGCCCCCCCCCCAGATGGGATAGGTCCCAGGGTTCCACAGCCCCCCCCCATTCAGATGTGATGGGCGGGGGACGACGACGAGGACGACGACGACGAGGACGGCGGCGGCGGCGGCGACGACGACGACGAGGACGACGACGGCGGCGGCGGCGGCGGCGACGGCGACGACGACGCCGACGCCGACGCTGACGACGACGACGGCGACGACGCCGACGCCGACGGAAGACGACGACGACGCCGACGCCGACGCCGACGCCGACGGACGACGACGCTGACGCCGACGCCGACGCCGACGGACGACGACGACGACGCCGTCGCCGACGCCGACGGAAGACGATGACGTCCACGAACCACCCCATACGCACAGGGGGAGGGGGGGGCACTGCCACCCACCACCACGCCACGCCCACATGGCCACGACTACAGGGGTAGGCGGGAAACGACTTCATCCGCGAGGCCCTGCGACCTTGGTCTCGGGAAGATCTCGGCGAACGCAGCGGAACGTCCACCTCGCACCACGCCACGCCCACAGGCCCACACGACCACAGGTGGGGGGGTAGCGATCCCACTCGCGAGGCTTTCGCGAGGCTCACAGGCGTGGATCACACATATCCACCGGGGGGGGTAGCCGGCCAGCAGGGCCAAGGCCATGCCAGTGGGGATGGGGGTTGCTTGAAATATGCTCACAACCCCTGTGGATCCGATATGCTTTCTTCTCTAGTCTCGGGCCCGCGCTGTCTTCTGTTCGGCATTGTCGCCGCGGCAGCCTGTACGACCTGCTAGCTAAGCAGCTCTTCCAGGACGGTTGCCTGCAGAGAGAAAGCCGATGCTTGGGGCATCGGACATCTCCGCTGGGGCTCACCTGGCTGTGGACCTCCTTCAAGCTTTGAGCCCTTGCCGATTGCTCAGAACTCTGGCTTGCAGGCGTGGGGCTACCACACATGTGCCTGGACATCCTCCGTTTTTCTGGAGGGAATAAACAGAGTCACAATTAATCGTCGATTCCCAGGAAAATCTGGGAAAATATGGGAAGTGGGGGGGGGGAGAACGGAAACCCAGAAAATATGGGACAATGTGGGGAATCCTGGGATTTGTGCGTAGCCATTTGTGTGTCCCTGGGCCCCCTCCAGACCTGTCTTCCCGCTCCGCGGCCCCCGGGGCCCCCTGCTCCTCCCCCAGGGATCGGTCTCCGCCCCGGGTCCGCCTGTGGTGGCCCAGGGGCCCGAGAGAGGGCACCCACGGGGCCGAGAGCGAGGACGAGCGCTCGGGCGGGCAGGCTCTCCTCGCCAGACCCCGAGAATCCGACGTCGCGAAGGAGTCGCAGCAGCGCGAGAGATCGCGACCGGGGCCGTTCCGTGATGTCCTCCTCCTCCTCCTCCTCCTCCTCCTCCTCCCCCTCCTCCTCCTCCTCCTCCTCCTCCTCCTCCTCCTCCTCCTCCTCCTCCTCCTCCTCCTCCCTCGAGCAACGAAGCACCCCGTCTTTCTGCGGCACGTTTTCCGAGCCCGATCGGTCCGGGATGGCCCCAGAGGCAAGGCACGGGAGAAGAGGCCCGTTGTGGAGAGGTTGCAACGCTCGTGTGGCCAAAACAAGCGCTGGGACGACGAAATCACCACTTACTTACGTCAACGCAGACCAGACCTCCACCGACCGCCCACGCAAGCCCATTCGGAAGGACAACCGAACGACATCACATGGACGCAAACAGCCCAAGACACCGAAGCATGGACAGCGCTCGAGCACCACTTCACCGACCTCACGTCGACCAGCACCCGGGACTCAGACCAATGACGTAATCTCGCCCAACCCACGCTGACACCGACACCAAGGACTTTCTTTTCCTCCTCCTCCCCCTCACCTCCTAACTTTTTACATGTCTCGCATTGCATGAATCCAGACACCTCAGATCCTAGAGGCCATGGCCTCACCCACCTGGTCTGCCCTAGGCCCGGACGCTGTCCGCAACGGTGGTCGCATCGCATCGCATCGCATCGCATTGCAACGCTCGGGTCTCGGGGTTGGGCCCCGAGGGTTTACAACAAGTCTTGGACTCGCGTTTTGCAAAGGCGGTGCCCGTAGGGACCTCGGCCCTGATACGCATGCTGAGATCCTTCAGCTCAGCGATCTGGCCCCTGAGCGTCTCCATGGCGACTGGGGAGGCGAGGACTGCTGAGCTGATGGATTTCGGTATGCCAGGACTCCGGAATCCATCAGTTCAGCAATCCTCGCCTCCCCAGTCGCCATGGAGACGCTCAGGGGCCAGATCTCAGGAGGGAAAAAACACAGACACAATTAATCGTTGATTCCCCAGAAAATTTAAGAAAATATGGGAAGTGGGGGGGAAGACGGAAACCCAGAAGACATGGGAATATATGGGGAATCTCTTTATATTTGTGTGTACCTATTTGGGTGTCCCAGGGGCCCATCAAGATCGTGGAACTGAAGGATCTCGGGGTGCGGCCCGGAGCTTCTCTCAAGACGCCAGGAGGGCTCGGGGCGCCCGCGCGCTCCGCTCGCGGACGGCTTCCGGCTCCCAGCCCCCGAGCTCCCCGATTCAAACAAGTTGGCCGCCTGGCAAATCGGCCACGCGCAGAGGAGGGTTGAGGTGAAGTCGGGCCTGTCCCCCTACGGGGGGAATATCCAAAAATAGTAAAAGAATAGTCGGGGGACTATTTTTGGAGCATAATTTTCGACCATTTTGGAGTATTTTTTGAGTATTTCCAATTTTTCGTTGAAAATCCCCCTGTAGGGGGACACGCCCGACGTAAGGTTAAGGGGGGGAGGGGGCGGGGCTTCTCAGAAGCACCTCTGCTTCGCAGAAGGCGTGGGCCTTGTCTGCAGATGTGAGGCCGGCGCCTTCTGAGAAGCAGCTTCCTTCTGAGAAGCCTTCCCCCCTCCCCCTACTCCCCTTTGTGGGCGCCGCCAAGAGAAGAATGCAGGCGAGACGCTGAGATTAGGACCACTTCGGGCTCGAGAGGGGCTCCTCGGACGGGGCTGGGACGAGGATAAATCCGTTCTAGAGCGTTCTGGAACGCTCTCAAAGCGTTCTGGAACTCTCTGAGATTGCCGCGGCGCCCGAGACATCCTCCAGAGCCGCCGGATCTTAGAGATTCTCGACTTATCCTCACCCGATTTGATCTTCGGCCTGGCTTCGCCTCAGCTTAGGTTTTCGGGCCGTTCCGTGGCTCAAGGTCGGCGAAGCCGAGGCTCGCCGTGGCCAGAAAAGCCCCTCGTTCCTCGTGTGGCGCTCCTCCGCACGATGACTGTGGGAGCTCAGGCCCAGACATGCCAACGTGTCAGGCGGAGGGCTTTCTCCTTTCTCGGCCTCCAGGGGCCCTCGTGGGGCCTAGGGGCCGTCAAGAAGCGGGAGGAGACACCAGTCCCAGAAACGGGGTCCGAACCTCTGGAAAGCCACGTCAGCCAGTCGGTCAGTAAGCCATGCGCCTCAAGACGGCGCGTCGGCAGAGAATCCGCACGGCTCGCTCAGGCCCAGTGCGCGATTCAGAAAACGAATGTCTCTTCAGAGGTTCAACCACATGACTGCCTCGCCCAACGCTCCTCTGGAGGCGGTGTGGAAATTCATGCACAGTCTGCCCGGAGGAGGACGCGGAAAGGGAGGAGGAAGGGGAATAGCCAAGATCAACCCACACTCTTTCAGAGGCTGGCAGAAAATGATGTTCACCTACTCTCTTACAGAGGCCGGTCAGAATCTCGAAGCGATGGGGAAATGCAGAATGAACGTTTTAGCTAGGCATATATTGTGCTGCTTGCCACTTTGCTTGCAAAGTAAACCATGCCACCAGTCAAAATCAACATGTATACCCAATGATGCGGAACATTTGTCCTGGCTGTGCGCGCCCGCGCAGCGGGGTCCAATGTTGATCTGAAGATGGGGCGCAGCCCGGCACTTGGAGCAGAATACCTGTACGAGAATTTTCGCATGCTTCTGCATTTGATGCGCTCCACTCCTCGCCGCCCCAGCTCACTAATTGGATCTGGTCTTGTTGCGCATGCTCAGCCAAGGTTCCAACGCGACGATGCCTTTGTGATCCAAGGATGATGAGACCGCCAACTTTGCCTTCGCAGCCCCATGCCTCCCAAGACTGGCGAGCAACATTTACCAACGAGTCGTTATATTCTCGCACGCGTATACGAGAGTGGAACATTGATCGCCCGATGGGTTCGCACCCATACGGAACTTCGGAAATATGCTCCCAATCCTATAATTCCGCGCAGAACTCTGTTGCTTGCATTTGCATTTGTGTTGCCATGTCTTCAAGCACGTTGAAAACATCACGTGGGAAAAAGCCCATGGACCCTCCAGCTCGCCTCTGGGACCCAAATCCATCGAACCATTGCAAGTAAGCCCATTCCCGTGTGAATCAGACAATGCGGCAACGGATTCAGACAGGAAGCTTCCAAGTGTAAGTTGTTCGGCAATGTTTTCCATTTCTAGAAAATCAACGAGCATACACACATTGTTTCCAAGCCGTCCAAACTTGACAACACTGCTGTCGAATCAACATTTATTTCGTTATGTGCGGCATGTGTTTGACAATCACCAAGAGGGATGTCTGGTTGAACCATTCGACAAACAGTGCACTATGCCACTGGACAAGCGAAGAGCATCTTCTACGTTTGTCATGCGCTCCCCCAGGCTCTCAATCATGGTGTGTAGCTTCTGAATGCTTGCTTTAACATCTGCGAAACTGTGCTCGAACTTGCCAGTGTCCACTTTGGGAACATGTCTATGCGGCATGGGTGCCACACACCTCCCGCGCTTCACCCGTCTAGCTTTGTACCGGGCGACGCACCCCAAATACGAAATTGAGGTTTCACAAAAACTTGCGCTCCACGCTGAGGCTGCTCACCCAGAAAGCAAACATACGCAGAGGCGGAATAATCACGCAGAAAAATGTGAGATAATGTATTGGGCGCGAAAACAAAACCCTCCCCTGGAGCCACTCGAGCCAAAACGGCTCGAGCCAAAATGGGAAGCCACGCCGTGGCAAACCTCAGGGCGTCGGATGCCTGGGGCCCCTGCAGGGCCCACTCTCGCCACGTATAGGCCCCCGGCGAGCGCACGGACGCCCCCTGCCGTGCAGCCCTCGGGCGGGGCTTGGACGAGAGCACACTTGTTTTGGAGCGCTCCGGAACGCTCGGAGAAGGCCGCGGCGCCCGAGGCACCACCCTCCAGAGCCGCCGGATCTCAGAGGCTCTCGACTTCTACCCTCGCCCGAGTTGCTCCTCGCCCCCTGGGCTGGGGCGACGATATCTATACATATCCACTGCTCCTGGCCAGGCCCATCCTGGGCCCAGGAGCGGTGTATATGCCTCCCTGGCCAAGCCAGGAGGGCGTATACACAGCTCTTTGGGCCCAGGATGGGCCTGGCCAGGAGCAGTGGATATGTATAGATATCGTCGCCCTATGGGCTGGGCCGCGAGCCGGCTGGCTCGTCGGAGGCCCCAGCAGGTCGGGGGTGGGCGTCGCCGAGCCCGGCGTCGGCCGCGGGGCGGCCCGCCAGCTCTCCCGCCGCGGCGGGGGCGGGGGGCTCTCTTCGTGCGCGTCGGCTCTCCGCCGTCGCCTGCTCCAAGGCGGGGATCTGTATGTGGCCACCGCCGGGGGGAGTCGGTCTCGGGGGAGCTCGGCCGGCGGTGGACCCAGACCCCCTCGAGTAATGAAAAAATCACGACGGGAGGTTTTTCCCAGTTTTCGGCCTCTGGGGGCCCTCGCCGGGCCTCGGGAGCGTCAAAAAACGACTCAGGATGCAAAGCCGGTCCTGGGGAAAGGGTCGGGACCTCTGGGGGTCGACGTAATGAACAAATCATTACGTCGGGGGTCTGGGGAGCTGGATCTGGTGTCGATTCGGGCCACCTGGGGCCCAAGGTATGTCCACGTGCGCCGCCTGCTGGGGTGCCAGGGCGTCGGTCCCCTGGCGGTGGTCATGGATCCAGATCCCCGCCTCGCGCAGCCTTCGCCTCCCGCTCTGCAGCCCAGAGGTCCAGGCGCTGAGATTCGGGTGCGGCCAAGAGGGGGGTGATGACCAGGGGGGGCATCGTGGCCCCTCTCCTTTCATTTCGATGCGTCCCTTGCCCCCCCCCCCCCCCCTGGGCTGCGCACGTGCCCCGGGCCATGCTCTGCAGACCCCCCTCTCTGACGCCCCCCTCGTCGGACGCCGCCCCCGAGAAGCAAGGACCACCTTGGGCTCAGGAGGAGCTCCGGATCTCGGGGCGCTCCTCGGAGTTGTGTCGGAGCAGCTGCTCGTGGCAGGGGATGCGGGAGGGGCAGGTGCCGAAGTGGGGCGAACGCGCCCGGTGATGTCGGGCGGTGGGGCCGCCCGCCCTCTCGGGCGGCTGCCGAGGCGCCTCGCCTCGCCGCCGCCGCCGCCGTTTTTTTTTGGGTGGCGCCCGCGGGGTGGGGCGATGCGCCGGCGGGGTGCAGGGCGGTGCGCCCGGTGTGCACCTTCGGGGCCCCCCAGGGGCCCTCCCTTCCTGGGGTCGAGAGGGGGCACGGGAGGCGCGCGTCTCGTCGCGCCCGCCCCCCACCTGTCGCCGGGCCCTTGGGGTCCAACATGGGGGCGCGGGAGGTACACGATCCGTCGCCCCCCCCCTTACACGTCTTGGGGGGGGGGCCGCCGCGGCCACCAGGGCAAACGCTGCCTCGGACCCAGAGTGTGCTGTGGGCTTGCCGTGGTGTCGGCCTCGTCCACCTGGGCGCGTTGAGAACGAGCGGCGCGGCGACACACGTCGTTCGGATGCAACTCCTGGGAGGTTAAATTCTGACTTTGCCCTGGTCTGGAATCCGGTTTCATTCGGCCTGACCCCGCTTCATCTGGCTTGATCCCGCTTTGCCGGGCCCAATCCCGCTGAGTCCGCGGCCTGATCCGGCGTAGCCGCCCCCCGAGTTCTCCCTAGTCCTTCCGACGAAGACCTCCCAGCTGTCGCCTCCGAAACGTCGCCCCCCCCCCCCCCCCTGCGCAGTGCCCGGCCTGGGGCACGGCAGCGGCCTGCTTCCCGGGCCTGCTCCTGCGCCGCGCCCGACGGCCGCCGCCACAGGCCATGCAGGCCGACGTCCTTCCGATGGTGCAGCAGGACCGGCAGGGGGGCGCCCGCGGCCGCAGCGGCCGCCGCCCAGCCCCCCCCCTCCCGGCCCGCGCGCCGCTCGGGTCGGACGGGGCCACAGTGGCAAGCCATGCCAAGGAGCACCCTGCTGGCCTCCCGGGGGGGCCCTGGGTTTCTCGGGTTTCGATGGCCTTGCTATGGGTAGCGTGACGTTCCCACACCAAAAATCAATGGACGTCGTGGGGTCTCAGGGTCGGGTTTCTTGTGGAAGGTTTCTCGTGGTCGAGCTCCTACCTCAGGACGAGAATAACTCCGTTCCAGGGCGTGCCAGAACACTCTCAGAGCGTTCCGGAATGCTCTGAGAAGGCCGCGGCGCCCGAGCCGCCAGATCATAGAGATTCTCGATTTATCCTCACGCGGATTTATCCTCGCCCCGGCTCCGTCTCGTCGGGGGGCCTGCCGGGCGCGCGGCCGGGTGCCTGGCGGAGGGCGATCCGGGAAGGGCAGCGCCGAGCCCTCTTCGAGCCATGAGAGAGCCACGACGGGAGGCCTTCCACCATGTCCGGCCTCCGGTCGGCGGCGAGCCCAGGGTGTGTGTGTGTGTGTGTGAGAGAGAATCAAAGGCCAGCAACATATGTACACGTACGCGGTCAGCTTCCCCTGGAGGGCGTTTGAACGAGGACGTTCGTGCATTCAAGATCGCGGACGGCGTACATGTAGATATGTCGTTGCTCGCTCACGGCATCCACAGCGGCGCGCCACGGGGCCACCTCCAACGCGTGGGAGGCCATGTGGCAGTACGCTAGGGAAGCTTGTGCTGCGCATCCTCGCCTCGCATCGCTCGTGGCCGCAGTGTGGCAAAGCTGAGTTAGTTCCCCCCTCCTCGCCTCCGCTCCTCGTCGTTGTCGTCCGTGGTCGCTGCCCATCACATTTCTTCCCGCGTGTAATGTACTGACTCGCCAATGAGCGCGACACCTTGGGAGCACGCCTTCTTCTGGTCAGCGGGGCGCCCAGACTCACAGGAGTCGGCTGGCGATGACCCTCAGGGCTTTGCTCAGTGCTCTCCTTCCTCCCCCCTCTCCTCCTCGTGCCTTCGAAAAACCCGGTCTTAAGTAACATTTTCGCCCTGGCCCCCGGGCAATAATTGTCTCGGGTGCTCTTTCGCTGTCCCTGCCACGTGCCTGATAGCGTCTCCGTATTCTTTGGTGGTCGGCTGCCCACGCAGCCCGGCTTCCCTCCATGGCCGGGGGCAGCGGCCATGCGAAGTTGTCGAGGCATCCAGCCGCCGTGGTCGACGTGAGGAAAAAAAAAAAAAGATATGTCGTTGCTCGCTCAGAGAAGGGGCGGGCCTTCTCAGCAGGCTCGGAAGTCCCCCGGCCTGCTGAGAAGCTTCCTAATTAAGCCTTCCCCGACGACACCCAAAGCCGCTCAGAGGGCCGGGGCTGGAGGCCTCGAGAAGCCCCGCCGCCTTCTGAGAAGGCCTTCTCCTTCTCATTTTTCCCCCTCGCTCGCCGCCGAACGAGGAAGTCACTACGGGCGGCCTTTCGATATTTCCGGCCTCCGGGGGCCCTCGCTGGGCCCCGGGGCCGTCAAGAAACGACTCAGGACGAGAAGCCGGTCCTGGGGAATGGGTCGAGGCCCTTTGGGGGCCGGCGCTACGAAAAATCATGGCGTCGGGGGTCTAGGCGGGGGCCTGGTCAGGCTCAGGGATGCATCGACCTCCAATCGCCCACTCATCGCCGGTGGGGGCCCAATAGCCCACCCCGCCCAGGAACGAACGTGCGGTTTTGCAATCGGGGGCCTATCGCCGATCTACTGGCGATGAATCGTCGATTCCAGCTCGACGTTCTCCCCCGTATCGTTGCCGTCGTATCGTTGCCCCTCAGACGAGGCGGAGGGGGCCTCCAGAGCTCCGACGGCATGTTTTTTTTCAGTCGGGGCGTTGTCTCCGACTCGATCTCGGCTCTTCACGCCCGAAGGCCGCAGGCCTCGGTAAAGCTGGGGAGGAGGCCTGGTCATTCGACTTCAAGCTGAGTTCGCTTCGCGATGGGTCTCACAGTCAACCCGCATCATAAGGATGAGCGACTCTCCAAGGTTACCCTTGCATCCTTCCCCTTCGGCCCATCCTTGGCCGCTTTCGCCGGCCGCGCCCCACCCGCAAAGTGCCGACATGGCCTTCCTAAGCCCTCGCATCCTTGCCGCGCATCCTTACTAATTATGCGGGTCGACAGTCTCTTACCTTGCGGTCTTTCCGGACAGCGTGCCGCTCCGCCCGATTCTGGCACGCCACGCTTCGGCGCGCCGCGCCAACCCCTTCACCCGCTCCCGGGCGGCCACGCCCCGGGCCCTCTCCGCCTCCCGCCCCCGCGGAGCGGAGCGACGTGCGAGGCGCTCGCAGGGCATGCAGGCACACCGTGCCGCCAGGGCCGCCGCGGCGACACGCTGAGCAAAATGCTCCCGACCCTTCGCTGCCTCGGCACGCCACGAAGGGTACTGGAGCGCAGCACGCGCCGTGCTCAACGCGGCCGTGTCAGTGCGTTGCGAGGCGGCTCAACGTGCGTTGGTACACGCCACGGCGAACGCCTCGCGTCGTACCCACGTCGCCGCTCTGCGCGTGGAGCTCCGCACCGATGCGCTCCGAGTGGCGTGCTGCGCCTATCGGGGCAGGCCGAGCGCCTCCCCGACCGCCTCTCCTCCTCGTCGCCACCACCCGTGCACGCAGCCTGCGCCCCTGCCGCCGCGCGCGGGCCGTGGCCGCCCCGCGCCGCAGCGCTCCCGGGCCCTCGCGCCGCTGCTCTTCGCCCCCCGCGGTGCCGGCCGCCCCTGCCGCCGCGCGCGGGCCGCCGCCGCCGCGGCCGCTTCCTGCGGGCCGCGCTCGCCACGGGCGATCGGCCCCTCCGGGGAGCGACCCGAGGTCAGCGCTTTTTCTCAGGAGGGGAAAAAGCGCGCAGACACAGTTCGTCGACGATTCCCAGAAACTATGGGAAGATATGGGAAGTGGGGGGGAAGACAACAGCCCAGAAGATATGGGAAACTATGGGGGATGTTTTTGTTTGTGTGTATTTATTTGTGTGTCCCAGGGCCGGCCCCTTCATTTTCGTTCTCGTTGTTATTCTCGTTTCCCTTCGCTCATTTGTGCAAGCCGCCTCTGCTGCAGAAGCGACATCGGAGCGAACACGGCCGAGGTCGCCAACACACCGTGTGCGTCGAACCCTGGGCCCCTCTCGCAGCCACGTGCAGAGAGGGGGATTGGGGGAGGGGGGGGAAGGCTTCCCAGAGCCACCCCTGCTTCTTGGGAGGCGCGGGCCTTGTCTGTAGGTGCAGGGCCTCCTTCCAAGAAGCCTTCCCACCTCCCCCCTGCCCCCCTCTGCGCGCCGCCGGCCCTCTCTCGCCATGGGGGATCGGGAGGCTTCGGAGTTCGAGTTTCGACGTAGATCTGGCGTAGGTCCGACGTAAGCTGGGCCTCAAGTTGCCGCGCGGGGCCTCCAGGATTTCCCTCATGAGGGAAAGGACTGTGTGTGTGTGTGGGTGTTGATCTCGGGGCTGGGGCCATGAAATCTCCGAAAGCTCATGGCCCCCCCCTTCCAAGGGGCAACGTTTGGGGGGGGATATAGGCCCAGGGGGGGATGCACCGACCCCCAATCGCCCACAGATCGCTGCGAAGGGGGAATTTCCTCGCAACCTTCCCGAACTTTGCCACTGGGGCCCTCGGTGGAGCTCCCTATGGGCTACGAGACGTCCTACCGGGCGGGGAGACGCATGCGAACTTTGCCACTGGGGCCCTCGGTGGAGCTCCCCAGGGGGCCGCGAAGCGCTGTGCCGGGCGGGGGAGGCGTGTCGGACGGCGGGAGCAGGCCTGGGCCCCTTCCCGCTCGGTGCAGCGCAGCGCAGGCCACCCCGGCCGCAACGGCGTCGCGCGCAGCCCGTGTGGCGCGCCTGGCGGTACGAGTCGAAGGGGCGCGCTGTATACACCACCGACCGCTTGGTCGGCCCCTGTCGCCATGGGGGATCGGGGGACTTCGGAGTTCGGGCCTCGAGGTTTTTTAGGCAGTTTTCGTATGTCGTCGGCGGTTTTCCAGCCTCGGGATGCTCTCCAGCAGCTGCGCCTCGCCGAGAGCGTTCAAGAGGTGCCCAGAATCGTCACGATCGGCCGCCAGAGGCGCAAGCTGTGACCCGAAAGCCAGATCCTCGACGGTCCGTTTTTTTTGAATCATGATGGTTTTCTTTGAATTCGGCCTCTGGCGCCCGTTTTTGGGCCCCGGGGCCATCAAACATGGATCCGGGGGGAGGAGGAGGAGGAGGGGGAAGATGAGAAGGAGGAGGAGGAGGAGGAGGCGGAGGAGGGGGAGGAAGATGAGGAGGAGGCGGAGGAGGAAGATGAGGACTGAGGAGGAGGAGGAGGAGGAGGAGGAGGAGGAGGAGGAGGAAGATGAGGAGGAGGCGGAGGAGGAAGATGAGGACTGAGGAGGAGGAGGAGGAAGATGAGGAGGAGGCGGAGGAGGAAGATGAGGACTGAGGAGGAGGAGGAGGGGGACGAGGAGGAGGAGCAGGTTCAGGAGGAGGAGGAGGAGGAAGAGGAGGGGGCGGAGGAGGAGGAGTAGGAGGAGGGGGCAGGGGTCTCTGGGCGGGCTGCGCGTCATGGAGGGGCGATGGGCGGGGCGGGGGGGTTCAGGGATGTGCACGCTCCTTCGCCCCCTCCCCCTCTCCCATGAAGCGCTGCCCAAACTGGGGCCGCGGATTTGAACCATCATGTCGGAGAGTTGGAGTACGGGACCGACCACAACAGTGATCACCCCCAAGGTGCTTCTTCCGTCGAATCTGCGGAACATGCGCAGACTGGGTGTCGAACCTCCAGAAATGATATGCACCTCTCGTGGATTCGACGCACAAACTACCCAGCGGAAAAGCAATTCGTTAGTCGACCCCCTACTCGAAGGATGTCTTCGTTTGCCCGCAGGAGGTGACCTCCAAGGCCCAGGCCCTGTCCGGCGTCAGCGCCGGCGGCTCAGCACCGGCGCCGGATCGCCGCCGCCACCGCCGCCGCTCCGGCGGCGGGCGCGGACGGTGGCCACGAGCTGGGCGAGCCCCGCGTCCGAGCACGGCAAAGGACCACCACCACCACAGGGCTCATCTCGATTCTTCTGGTTCGATGCGATTCGGTTTCGACGGATTCCAGTTCCGGTTCGATTCGGCTTCGGATTCCGGTCTGTATTCCGATTCGACAACGGGGGCCCATTAGCCTGCTGATTTCCGCCGATTCGACTTCTCCCGACTCGGCTGCCGATTTCCACCGATCCGATCCATTTCGATCGCCGAACCGATTTATCGATTCGCCTCTGGGCTCTGCTGCCACCACGATCGGGAAAGACGTGCGGTTCGTTTCAGCGCCGTGAGGCTCCTGTGGAGATGCCGCTGTCGCAGCCACGCCGCCACCGACGACCAGGGCCCCCCCCCTCCTCGCGCGCCCGAGGGCTGGAACGGGGCTCCTCCGAACAAGCGCCGTGGAGCACGCACTTTTGCTGTGTTCCTACTCGTTAACATGTGTCACGTGTGCGGAGCTACACTGTCAATGCCGCGCTTTCCTGTGGCTTGGCTGTGTTCCTGCTCGCAGCGCGCACCGCCAGAGGCGGCGGAGAGCTTGACAGATCCACCTACCAAAAGTGCATGAGCTCGGGTTTCAAAGGGGGCCATCTTTTCACACACCACCACGAAGGTGGGCGGCTTCTGTCTTGGGATCCTCCCCCCGCGGCGCCGTGGCACAAGCGGAGAGGGATCCCCTGAAAGGGTCCGGCCGTTCTCCACGTCGCTCGCGGGGGCGCGAGGATCGTCGCGTCTCGCTCCTCCTCCCTGAGGAGGAGGGAGCAGGGAGCAGAGAGCACGGAGCAGGGAGGAGAGGAGGGAGGAGGGGAAAGGAGGGGAAAGGAGGAGGAGGAGGAGGAGGAGGAGGAGGAGAAGGAGGAGGAGGAGGAGGAGGAGGAGGAGGAAGCTCTCTCTCAAAGCTCTCTCTTTTCATAGCTCCTACAACGGTTCATGTCCATTGAGGAAAACTGCTTCGTTTGAAAACAACGGTTTGAAGACCCTAAAGTATGCCAAAACATTGTTCTCGGGATTCCAACGCCACGGATCAACTGACTGTTGCGTCTTGACGATCCTGAATCGTGCCAGAACGCCATTCCTGGGACTTCAGCACTGCGGACCAACGTAATTGTTGCGCCCGCGTAATCATGAATCTTTTCGAAAGAACACAATTTCTGGAACGTTGATCTTGGGAGACCGTGAGCCTCGTGCAAGCTTTTAAACTAATGTTGTCGGCGCTATGGCGATAGCCACATTTTGACCAGGAGCCGCTCTCAACCCGTGAAGCTCTTGTAAGTCGTTACAACGAATGTGTGCGGCGCTAAGGCGAGAGCCACATTTTGAAAACGACTCGCCCTCATTCCGTGAAGCTCTTACAAATATTGAAAACGAATGTGTGCGGCACTAAGGCGAGAGCTACATTTTGAAATCGACCCGCCCTCCGTCTGTGAAGCTGTTGTCATTTCAAGCGTCAGATTCATAAATGGTGAGGAAGCCTCAGGCGAAAGGCCCGCCCCCAAACTTGGCCTCGGGTGCGACAGGGAGAAGTTACTTATGAGGAAAAGGGATGGAGGAGGACGAGAAGGAGGAGGAGGAGGAGAAGGAGGAGGAGGAGGAGGAAGCTGAGGAGGAGGAGGCCCCCAACCAACAGTGGAACTTTTGCCCGCCGTCGATGTGAGGGTCGCCAGGCGTCGTTTCTTCTAGATTGCTGCTGCCAACGCGTGCCAGAAGGGCGCCAGCCCAAGTATTCAGACATCGGCCCCGCCACTCCCGACGCACCCCCCTGGCGCTCCCAGGACGCTCCCTGCCGGCCCAAGGGAGCTTCCTGAGGGCCCGCGCGGCGCACGACGTCTTCGAGAAGGCGCCCACAGCGCCAGGATCAGTGCGTGCGAAGATCACACCCTACCAAACCACCCCAACCCAACCCGAAGGCCTCAATTTGCCGTCCATTTCCAGTGTGGGGGGGTCGGGGAACGTTGAAAAAACACATGGAACCCGTACCCCCCCCAACCCGAAATTCGGGTCCAATTCGGGTCTTCGGGTTGGGTTGGGGTGGTCTGGTCGGTAGTCAGAAGCAAGCTGGCAGCGGCCGCGGGCTTTCGCGCTGATCCGCGAGCCGTGGCAGGCGAAAAACTGGAGCCCAGCGGCTTCTCTTCTACTGCAGGGGCCCGTGCGTGCGAAAGGTGCGCCTGTGTGCCGAGTTGGGTTTCGGAGCCCCGAGGGCCCCGCGATCCCGTCGATGTGCGCGTTTTGCTTTGCGACCAGCCTACGAGCGGGCTTTGGCGATGCTTGTGCGTCTGCGCCGCCTCCCATCCGTAGTAGGGGTGCGCATCGACCATGTGTGTCGTGAGGTCAAATCCGATGCGGATTCGGTGTGCGAGTTGGTCTCAGACAGAGTGGTATGCAACGTGTCGCCAAACGCCCCTGGCCGTCACGCATTCGTGAACTGGGCACCGCTTGGACCAGCCAGGTTGGCAGGTTGATGCCTGGGCGGCGTTTCTCTGTTCTTCCCCTCTCACCACCCACCAAGCCACCCCAACCCAACCCGAAGGCTCAGATTTGCCCTCGATTTCTAGTGGGGGGGGGTCGGGAAACATCGACAAAAACACATGAGGAACCCTTACCCCCCCCAACCCGAAATTCGGGTCTTCGGGTTGGGTTGGGGTGGTCTGGTAGGTAGTCACCCTCTGTCTCCCCCCCTCCCATCCCTCCTCGGGCCCTCTCGAGCCGCCGGGGCGCTCGGCTTTGCTTCGCCCTGCCCGTTTCGGGGCTCTGTCCAAAGCTGGACCTGCGTGCCTTCGGCACTCGTTCTGCCCTTGCGCTCCTCCCCGCTTACACCCACTGTCGTGCCCGGCGGGGCCGGCAATCACCACCCACCAAACCACCCCAACCCAACCCGAAGGTTTCGATTTGACCTCCATTTCCAGTTGGGGGGGGGTCGGGGAACCTCGAGAAAACACATATGGAACCCGTACCCCCCCCAACCCGAAATTGGGTCTTCGGGTTGGGTTGGGGTGGTCTGGCAGGTAGTCAGGCAAGCTGTGCTCGAGCCTTCCAGGCACAGCTAGAGAGCTTCCGCTGCAGCTGAGCAGCCAGCACGAATATACCTGCAGGATGCGATCGCCCGTTCGGACGACCGCACACCAGGGGACTTATTCACCAAGCATGTCCGCGAGGAGTGCTTAGTTCGATTTTTCAAGGACGAGCAACCGATGAGGAAAATCCTGGAGGTCTCGTGCGGCGCGCAATGGTTGCATTCTGAAGTCCACTCGTTTGCCCCGTCAGATATGGGACGACGTTTGCGCGGGGGTTTTCTGACGGATGTCCTACGTGCATCCGACGTGGATCCGACGTAAGCTAGGTCTGAAGTTGCCGCGCGATGCCTCCAGGAGTGGCGCGCCCCGGCCCGGTGGCATGAGTCGGGGGGGTGCGCGATGTACAGTCGGCCCTGATTAGTAGGTCGACCCTGCCAGCTCAAGGGTACCCTTGTGTCCTGTGCCTCGCGACACGTGCCTTCTACATTCCACTGGCAGTGTGGCCATGGGAAGAGTCTTGTGTCCTCTCGCGTGTCCTCTCCAATCCACCCCGACTGTACGCACCTCGTCGCTGCCAGGCGACCTGCTTTTTCCCTCCTGGCGTGTTTCCTCGCCTCCAGCGGGGCCCGTGGTCGGACCCCGGGGCCGTCCAAAACGCACCTGGGGCGAAAAGCTACCAGTGGACCCCCTGGGGCCACGCACGGGGCCCCCGGGGCCCCGGGGGCCCGGCCAGCGGGCCGGCGCAGCACTGAGGCCATCACGATCACGAGCTTCGACTTTGGCGAGACTCCGCCGGTGGTGGGACCGCTGGACCCCCCGAGCCCCCCAGGCTCCGGGCGGGCTGGTGCTCGCGGCCCGATGGACCCCTCTGGGATTTTTGCTGGACCGTCGGATTTTTTTTGTTCTCTCCCTCTCTCGCTCTCTCTTTTTTCTTCTCTCTCTCTCTTTCTCCCTTAGTGGCGTGCGATCCTCCTCCCCCCCCTCCTCCATCTCCTCCCTTTGCCATCCTCCCTCGCTCCCTCGTTCCCTCCCTTCTCCCTCCTCCCTCCTTTCTCCCTCCCTCCCTCTCTCCCCCCATCCCTCCCTTTCTTCCCCTCCCTCCCTCTCGTCCTCCCTCCGTCCCTCCTCCCCCCACCTCCTTCTGCACTACACTGCTGAAGGTACGGTGGGTGGACTCAAAGTGTCCACGCGTGTCTCGCCAACACCTTGAGTCACTAGAATACGTCGGTCCCACATGTATACCCCCCTCCCCCTAAATTCGAAGTTGACAGGTTTAGGCGGTAGGCCAAATGCCAGGGACAAAATGTGGACATTTTAGTTTTGGGTTTGGGGGAGGGGGGCGAAGCAAGGGCATTTCGAAGTTGTTATCATGTTGCATCGCCTTCCCGCCATGGGTGTGGACACTTTTTGTCCGGGCGCCGTCTGGGTAAGAAGTGTTTCGTTGTTTCGTTGATGTGGGCTTGCTTCGTTGCTGAACTGGTACAACTGGATAGATCTGGTCATATAACTGGTCATATGACTGGTCCATTAAGCATAGGGTCCGGCATAGAACTGGACGACATGCGATACATCAGTAATTGAGATATGTACAGCTTCTAAGTTGAAGCGACCAGTTCTATGCCTGCCTGACCCTATTTTAAAGCGGACCAGTTCTGTGACCAGTCCTATGACCATTTCTATCCACTTGTACCAGTTCTACAAAGGGAAGCCGCGGGGCTGCCAGGGCGCGCACCTCTCCGCATCTCGCACTCGGCTTTGCTGTATGCTTCTCGTTCGTCCTTGCGTTGCGTGGGCCCGCTGGGCGTGCGGCGGCCGGAGGCGTGGAGCTCGCAGTCCCGTTGCAGTCGGACCAGGGTATCAGACCGAGGTCGGTCGGGGGCAGGGGGGGGTGGACATCATGGCGGGGGCCATGATGTCTCCCCAGATTTCATGGCGACTCTGCCGATCTCGTTACGTTCCTTGCGCCCCCCTGGGCCGCGCATATGCCGCCGGCCACGATTTGCGCCCCCCCCCCCCCCCCTCTTGGGTGCCCCCCTCTTGGCCGCCCCAGATCGGTTCGGGGAGGTTGCCCTAATGTTCTTCGTGCTTGATCTCTCTCTCTCTCTCTCTCTCTATATATATATGTTCTTGTGCATCCTGGGGAAGGCTGCCCTCGAAGGTTCTTCAGTTTTCGGGTAGGCGATCGACTGCAGAATTGATTTGCCCCAAACTTGATTTTCTCGTCGAGCCCGTGAGAACACGTCCGCAGAATGGCCAGTCGATCTACGGAGCACTGCAAGTGTGCTTCGTAGCTTCGACGGGAAGTCACCCTGGGGGGGTGCATCGATTCTGCAGTCCATCCCGCTCCCAGGCTTGCGAGCGCCTGGGAGCACCTGGCAGCTGCGATGGGGGCGCCAAGCCCGCCCCCTCGCGCTCCCCGTCCGCGGCCGAGTATTCGAAAGCGAAACCTTTTTTTTGAGTGCAGGTCGGCAGCGCGCTGCCTTGCGTGGCGCTTGAGCGTTGCGGAACTCCTGGCTCCCAGGGGAAGGGGGGGGAGGAGGGGGAGAAGGAGGCGGAGGAGGAGGAGGAGGAGGAGGGAGGAGGAGGAGAGGAGGAGGAGGAGGAGGAGGAGGAGGAGGAGGAGGAGGAGGGAGGAGGGGGAGGACGCTCCCAAGCGGTTCCAGGCGCTCCCAGGCGGTGTCCAGGCGCTCGGGCGTGCGCGCGCGCAGGACGTGTCCAGGCGCAGCGTGCTGACGGGCTCCGGGCAGGCGGCGCCTGCCGCCGCCGCCGCCGCCGGCCGCCGCCGCCGCCCGCCGCCGCTCGCGGGGGGGCCGCCAGGGCCTGGCCCAGTCAGGAGCCTTTGCTGGAGGGGGAGGTTCGCCTCCTCCTCCTCCTCCTCCTCCTCCCTCCTCTCTCCTCCTCCTCCTCCTCCTCCTCCTCCTCCTCCTCCTCCTCCTCCTCCTCCTCGCTCCAGGGGCGGATGTCTGAGCTCCTTGCACGCTTGTGTGGCAAGTGGCGGGCGGGTCCGTGCGCGCGCCCGTCGCCGCCCGCTGCCCGCGGCCTTCTCCGCGAGAAAGAAGGTTCTCGGGAGCGGACAAGAGGGGGGTGATGACTAGGGGGGGGGTGGATATCATGGCGCGGGCCATGATTGTTCCCCAGATGTCATGGCGCCTCTTCTTATTTCATTCCGTCCCTGGCCCCCCCGCTGGGCCGCGCACATGCCGCCGGTCATGATTTGCACACCCTCCTCTTGGACACCCCCCTCTTGGCCGCTCCCGAGGTTCGCCAGATGCTCTGGCATGCGCGCGTTTTTTTAGTGTACCAGGGGGGCAGGATCGAATGACACAATCAGTGAGCAGGCAGGTGCAGAAGGGGCGGAGGCCTTCCTCCAGTTTGCGCTCTCACTGAGCAGCTCATCGATCAAATGGCCAAGTGACAGACAGCCACAACAATGGCAGCTACAGCGACTGGGAACATGGAGATTCTGCTGCAGCAGACGCAGCAGCCTTGACAGTAACGGTTGTATCTATGACAATGAAGCGGCAGGCGCTGGACACATTGACGTGGAGAGAATACGATGAGAGCAATGTCGAGGTCGGCGACACTGTGCAAGAAACGGGAGGCTGAAACTGGTGGCACATCGCAGGGAGTCGTTCAGGAGCTCCTTCAGTGAGGGAACTTCCCCAGACATCCCAACTCGTGACCTTTCAACAAAGTGGCTCCCCAGAGGTCTGAACCCCATCCCTGTGGCCGGTTTGTCATCCTCGGGGGCGGGCTGCTGGGCGAGCCCTCGAGGGCCGCGGGGGTGCGCACGCGGGAAGTCCTGGCCTCGGGAGCGCGGGCCAATGCTTTTTGTTGAGGTTCTCCAGAAGAGTGCTCGCATTCAGGGGCTCTGACTTCGGTTCAGAGGAACTGGGCTGGTGTGGTGGTCTGGCGGTTCTGTTGTCGCCGTCGCCGCCGCGTCGCCGCTTCGTCGCCGCCCGTCGTCTGGGCCGGTGCGGCGGTCTGGCGGCCTTGTTGTCGCGGTCGCCGCCCTATCGCCACCACGTCGCCGCCCGTCGTGTGGGCTGGTGCGGCGGTTTGGCGCTATGATGTCGCCGTCGCCGCCCCGTCGCCGCTCGTCGTCGCCCGTCGTCTGGGCCGGTTTGGCGGTCTGGCGGCTAGGTCGTCGCCGTCGCCGCCCCATCGCCGCCTCGCACAGATTTTACCGCATAGATTTTTGATACAAGATAAGTTCCACCACCCTCCCGGGGGCGGACTTAACGGTTCCCTTTGGGGAAGTACAGATGATTCTGCTCCCTCGTTTGTTTCTAAGTATGGAAGCATTTGGTCCCAGCCCACCTGTTATCGAGCGCCCCCATCTTCTGCAACAAACAATGCGCGCACAGTCGTTTATCAGCAATTACCAATTCCCAAAAACCTTTTGCAACAACTAGGGCGAAGTGCATAGGCGCGCGACGTCGCTCGCATACCGCAATCCTTCGAAACCAAGGCTTCTCAGGGATTTGAACATCGAGTGTCCCGGAACAAAACGTATAAATAACGCATGGTTTTGTAGCATGACTTCCCACAAAACGTCAGCGCGCGCATTCTTCCGATCTTGTCAGCATTTTCATCAAATTCGGGTAAACGTGCGTCCCGCGCGCGCATGTCGAAATCATTTGGACGCCCTTCCGCGCGTGCTGTGGGGCACGATCCGTGTCAAATGATACCATGCAGGCCACTCGCTTCTGTCGACCGCGCGCACATGGCGAAATCCTTTCAGAACCTTGATCGCCGACGTGTGGACACCTTCCCCGTCAACGGCGTGATCAGTTCAGCATCGGCGTCGCCCAGGGCCTTGCCGTCGTCGTCGTCATCGCCGTTACAAAAATCGCTACAAGCATCATCGTGTCAGCCGTTGTCGACGTCGCCATGATGCCGCGTTCGCCCGAGTCACCGACTCGCGCGGAAGTGCCCGCGCGTCAGCGCGGCCCGTGAGACGCGCTGGGCAGTCCCCAGCGGCCAGCGCCACCGCGGCCGCCCCGGTCGCGCCAGACCAGCGCGCGAGCTTGCGCGGTAGCGCGGCCGCAGCGATGCGCCAGCCAGCGCGAAGCAGACATCGCACTTGCCGCGGCATGGGTTTAGCAAACGAAATTGCGGGTGGGTGGGCGGGGTGGTTGCGCGAGCAGTGGAGTTCGCAATTCACTGCGGACAGAAGTTATCCGCGCCGCATTGACTGCTCCGCGTAGATTTTTTTCCCAACCATCCTGTGGTGTTGGGTCCTCGTTTTGAAGAAACGGTCCCCGCGTTCTCCCCTCCTCCTCCTCTGCCCCCTCCTCCCTCCCCCCCTCCGCGTCAGCCACACCCACTTCGGCACACCCCTCACACGTTTCGTGGCCCCATAGGGAGCTCCACCGAGGGCCCCAGTGGCTGCGTTCGCATGGCGGCACCGCACCCATTTCGGCACACCCCTCACACGCTTTGTGGCCCCATAGGGAGCTCCCCCGAAGGCCCCAGTGGCTGCGTTCGCATGGCGGCACCGCACCCATGTCGGCACACCCTTCACACGTTTCGTGGCCCCATAGGGAGCTCCGCCGAAGGCCCCAATGGCTGCGTTCGCATGGTGGCACCGCATTCATCTCGTCACACCCCTCACACGTTTCGTGGCCCCATAGGGAGCTCCACCGAGGGCTCCAATGGCTGCTCTGGACGGCCGAAATGGGTACGGAAAGAATGGGTACTATGTCCAACAGCAGTTCCTGTTCATTTTGAACAGGGCTCGCTGTCCGCGCCGCCGCGGCCTGTGTCCATTCGAGACAGAAAGCCGCCTGCCCAACAGCGGCCGCTGTTGGTTTGGGACAACATTTGTTGTTGGGCATAATACCCATCCTTTCCGTACCCATTTCGGGCGTCCAAAGCTGCGTTCGCATGGCGGCACCGCGCCAATTTCGGCACACCCCTCACACGTTTCGTGGCCGCATAGGGAGCTCCACCGAAGGCCCCAATGGCTGTGTTCGCATGGTGGCACCGTACCGGCACACCCTTCACACGTTTCGTGGCCCCTGAGGGAGCTCCACCGAGGGCTCCAGTGGCTGCGTTCGCGTGGCGGCACCGCACCCATTTCGGCACACCCCTCACACGTTTCGTGGCCCCAGAGGGAGCTCCACCGAGGGCCCCAGTGGCTGCGTTCGCATGGCGGCACCGCACCCATTTCGGTACACCCCTCACACGCTTCGTGGCCCCATAGGGAGCTCCCCCGAAGGCCCCAGTGGCTGCGTTCGCATGGCGGCACCGCGCCCATTTCGGCACACCCCTCACACGCTTCGTGGCCCCTGGGGGAGCTTCACCGAGGGCCCCCATGGCTGCGTTCGCATGGCGGCACCGCGCCAATTTCGGCACACCCCTCACACGTTTCGTGGCCCCATAGGGAGCTCCACCGAGGGCCCCAGTGGCTGCGTTCGCATGGCGGCACCGCGGCCATTTCGGCACACCCCTCACCCGGTTCGTGGCCCCTGAGGGAGCTCCACAGAGGGCCCCAGTGGCTGCGTTCGCATTGCGGCACCGCACCTATTTCGGCATACCCCTCACACGTTTCGTGGCCCAGGGAGCTCCACCGAGGGCCCCAGTGGCTGCGTTCGCATTGCGGCACCGCACCTATTTCGGCATACCCCTCACACGTTTCGTGGCCTCATAGGGAGCTCCACAGAGGGCTCCAATGGCTGCGTTCGCATGGCGGCACCGCGCGTTCGCATGGCGGCACCGCGCCCATTTCGGGACACCCCTCACACGTTTCTTGGCCCCATAGGGAGCTCCGCCGAGGGCCCCCGTGGCTGCGTTTGCATGGCGGCACCGCACCCATTTCGGCACACCCCTCACACGTTTCGTGGCCTCATAGGGAGCTCCACCGAAGGCCCCAGTGGCTGCGTTCGCACGGCGGCACCGCACCAATTTCGGCACACCCCTCACACGCTTCGTGGCCCCATAGGGAGCTCCACCGAGGGCCCCAGTGGCTGCGTTCGCACGGCGGCACCGCACCCATTTCGGCACACCTCTCACACGTTTCGTGGCCCCTTAGGGAGTCCCCTCTCATTCGTTCAACCTGCTCTGCGGTACTCGTAACTGCATATGGTTGGGTCCATCGCCAGGATAATTTTACAAATGATTTTGCCCCATTGCCCACCCTAAATCTGAATTCGTGCCGTCTCAGGCAGGCCCGCGCCAGCACCCCCTCCACCCCCTGCAGCAAGAACTTTGCGCGCGCATTCGTTTATCCAAATCAGCAGTTGTCAGGGCTCTTGTGCAAAACAACGGGGCGAAGTGCACGCGCTCTCGTCGTCGCGCGCGCGTGGCAAAATCTGGCAAGACTTTTGGTTTCACATGGGTTTCAAAATCGAGCGCCCCGAACCCGTATCAACGCACGTAATTTCGCTATTTTTTCTTTGTATATATGTTGAAAAACTAGCGCCCGCGATCTTGCGAACTCTTAGGAACAAATGGTGTTCAACGTGTTCATAACATGGTATCATGCGGGCCTCTCGCGCGCGCATGCCGTCGTCGCTCGAGCGCCCCTGCCCGCGTGCTCGCGCGTGAATCCTTTGCGACAGATGGGGCGAAGTGCAGGCGCGCGCGTGGTCGCGCGCGCGTGCCGACTTGCTTCGAAAACATCGGGTTCCGTCGGGCTTTCAAAATCGAGCGCTTAGAGAAAACACATATAAAACACATTGTTTTGCAGCGCCAATTTCAAGAAAGCTTGCGCTCGCGGTCTAGCGAATTCTTAGGGGTGCCATGGCTTTCCAAC